TACGAAGGCCTCGTTGGAGCCCGTTATTAGGGATGTTGTGGTCAACATAAATAAAAACCATCCGATCGGCGCATTTGGTCGTTACGGTAACCGCATCGAGGTTGTAATCAGGGCTGTTGCCAGTTTTTCAGCATAATTATTTGTGATGTATAGTTAAGAACGTGTTAACTAAATTCCATTAATATGTATTAATTCTCCTACTAAATATTTTTCTCAAAAGACTGATGCATTATCTGCGGGAATTTTTTTATTACTTTGTTTATTAAAGCACCTCCGACCAACTCTTCTGCGCCGTTAGCGAAAATGTGGAGTAACGATGAAGTCAAAAACATTTCGGCTGTCCACCCGGAAGCCGTAAACGCTCCAAATTTATTAACCTCAGCGATGCCTATTCAGGTAAACTGCTTGTGAAATTCCAGCCAGTTCTTTAGAAAAACATGAAGAGATCGAAGTCTACACAATCAGGGAATTCGTCTCCCATGAAAACACGGACAGTCGAGAATTCCAACTGTGAAAACAAAGGTGCCGATTGCGAATTCTCAATCGTTGATCCAATGTGGCAAAACATTGATCCGAATCCCGATATTCGTGCACTATTTGCCCAGTTTGATGAGAAATTCTTCGAAAAGCGTCTTACTTCTGTTGAGGTTAAGTGGAGTCCTCGAATGACCCTTTGCGCCGGTATGTGTGTCTACGAGGGTCGTGGGGGCCTGTGTTCGGTGCGCTTGAGTGAACCACTGCTCAAATTTCGACCAAGAAGTGATTTAGTGGAAACGCTTTTGGTTGTTATCCTTCCGTTGATTTTTTAACGGACAACCCTTTTAGCACGAGATGATACATGCATACCTCTTCGTCACCGAAAACAACAGGGTAGGCTCTTGCTTTTATATACGATCAACACCTGGTTCTAGGATCGCGACGGCCACGGCCCTAATTTTCGAGCTCATATGAATCGGATCAACAAGATAGCTAAGACGAATATAACGGTAAGCACTTACATCAGTTTTCTTCATTTACTTATATTTCTCATG